CTCCTTGTTTGTTATGTATCTAAAGGCGCAGTTAATCCAATAGTTATCACCGAATTGTTGAGTGATAAATAATTCCAATTTTTCTAATGAATAGAGAGCAATTTCCATGTCTAATCTTGGTAGTACATGACTTTGTTTCTGCTTTTAAAGTTGATGAAATAAAGGCAAGTATATAGATTTCTTTTTGCCAGGTGTATGGATTCCATTTGTGCTTCATTTTTTGTACTGGGAAACTACTATAACATTTTTTCACATGTGGGAATAAATAAGTTTACTTTCCTGTTTTTAATTGTTACTGTGCTGCATGTCACAAATGATTTTCAGAGAAATACAGGTATATCATATATATACAAGTATACAATATATATATATATATACAAAGTGAAAAATTAAATCATTGTATTTTAAAATTAAAAACTCAATTTACTTTTCTGTCGTGTTGATAGAGTGTTTTCCCAGTGCCAAAACTTGAAAAAAATTGCTGATTTTCAAAAAGATAAATGCTCTTGTTGTGTTCTCCAAGCATCAGTCACACAACTTATTAAACAGCATGTGATTTTTTTTTTGTTTTTCTTCCCTAAATCAATAATCTCAAAGTATCTTGTGTCTAAGCTTCAAAAAGTTGATCAGTCTGCTTAATTTACTTAAACTGAGTCACTTTATCTGCTAAGCAGGTTTTTTACTCTAATGCATGTTTGTTAGTCTAGATCAAAAATGTATTTCTTCACTTAAGAGATAATTCCCATCTCTGATGCTAAGAGAATAGAAATTTTAGTATAGTAAGACTTAATTACCTAGCATAATAGATTAAGGTTTTGCAAATTAATGACTTCCTATTTTGAAACAGTTATCTTGTGAAACATCTTAACATAAATGCAGAATTTTGGTGTGTCACCTTCTGACATGTAACAGTAGCTTTGCATATTTCTTTCAGAGATTTTGAAAATATGAAGATAATAAATGATGACTAATGTACACCATCTGGCTAGGGTGGGGGAAAAAAGATTTCCTGAGCAACAGGGTTTCTGCTAAGCTGATTTACTTAAAATAAGAAAGCAAATGCTTGCTTTTCTTTTCGTTTTTTTTTCCTTTTTTTTTTTTTTTTTTTGAGAAAATGATGAGGATATAATGATTCCACCTAAACTCATAGGGTAAGGGTGGCCTTTATTATGTGCTCCATGATCAAAATCAATATCAAAGGCAAACTCCATGGATTCCATGAGAAAGGCAGTTTACCTTATTTCAGTCTGTTGCATCATATATTCAGAAAAAGGTTGCTGAGGCTTGAAGATTTCGAGCAGCATTAACCACAGTGTCAGAGAGCCGTGCTGGAATCAGCTGCCTGTGAGGAGAGATGACCTAGCTTTATCAAATCAGTGAACAAACAACTATTAATCTATACAGCCTCAGGATTAGATCCTTCAGAATGCAGACATATTGTTGTGCTTCATAGCTTCTTTAGGTTTACAGCTGTCACTTTTTTCTGCTAATTTTATGATGCAGTGTAGAACTAAATGCAATAATAGATATTAGAAATTACATGTAAATTCTGCAATAATCTCTGCAGTTTCTCAGAACCAAAACTGCCCTCTTGGTTTCTTTTAATAGAGATTTTCTTTTGCAAGCACTCAATACATACACTTAGGTATTTCCTTATTATTTTGTTTAGTTGTCTACTTTTGTGGCGTACCTACTGCCATTTTGAATGAAGTTATGTGTTCATTTAAAGATATCAACTAATTTGAACAAAATATGATTTCACAACTGTGGAGAAAAGAGAGCAGATAAGTCTGTGCATGATATCCTGCTAAAACTGCAGTCTTGAATCTATATTTTGAATTTATCTCTTACTTTTTTAGTTTTATTTTCCCAAACCAACCCTGCCTCTACAACCCTTTAATGAATACTGAAAATTGGATGTTATTTACTCTTGAGTAGTGGTTGCCTAAGCTCTGGACATACAAGATGATGTGTGGCTTACAGATGTATCAGGGTTGCAGAGGCAAAAACTGATGTCCATAGTAACCAGCAAGAAATGATGCAAGTGTGAGAAGAGACCACCAGAACCTTCCTGAGGGTGAGCAGGTTGTTACCTCTGCAGTTTGTGTGAGAACATCTCTTAGGTGCCTACTTATTAAAGAGCGAAAGTCTGTGAAGAAAGTGCAGCCTGTACTTTGTGTGTTAACTGTGGGACCAAGTCATTCATCTGGCCTCTGTGGAAGACACAGGTTGTGCTTTAAAAATAAATAAATAAATAGGGTGTGTGAGAGCATGAAAGGAAGAAAAGCAGGAAGGGAGGGAAAATGAAACAGTGAAGTTGTGGAATTTATCTGATTTAAATGAGCACAAATTTAAATTGGTGTGTGACTTCCATCTCCTTTCTCAGCCCATATTGGTATGGGATTATTTAAGCCAGGGTGCAGCACTTCCCATTTTTCCTTGCTGAGTTTCATGTGGCTTCTGTTGGTGCAGCTCTCGAGGTTTCTTATGGTCCATCTGCAAAGTGACACACGCTGACCTTGAGCCCACCGGTGGGTTTAAAAATGAGATTGTCCTACATTACTATATGGCTCTAATGGAATGTTTGCAATACTGTCTAGGAAATAAGAAACACTCCTGCTTCCATAAAAGAGATGAGATAAACAGGATTGAGACCAATACTATTTTTCGAGGATGGATGGGAAATGATAGGGCAGAGTTCAGATTTGAACTGTCCCATTAAAATGAGCTGCAGGGCTGTGTGACATTAACAAAGTTGTGTAACATCAGCACTGGGGCTGCTGTTTAGCCCAGACAGCAGAAGAGCATTGCAATATTTTGAAGGGGGGCAGTGAAGAGCAAAGATGGTTTTTAGTATGGAACTGGTACTTTAATGGATGGAGTTAAATTACATAGCCTATAAAACTCTGGACATAGGGACCCATGAGTTTATTTTCCCTCAGAACGACCCATCCAGTTCTGGATCCTGTGTTCCTTTTAAGTAAAGAAGCTATTGATATTTGGCATATATGAAACATATATTTTGTCTCACTTTATCTTTAACTACTATGATTTTGATATATATTTTGCCCATGGCAAATGACAACAGTAATATTTTTCTCTTCCTTATGTTTTCCTACATTATTTATCTTCCTATAACTTAGCTGCAAATTTAGTTGTAGGCAGAGACAGAAATAGCTGTTATGGGGGAATGTGTATGTGGTAGGATTTGTTGTATTTAAGCATTTCTGAGTGTGTTTCTCAGGAATGCTGATAATTCATCTCAGTTATGCTCTCTAGCCAAAGAGATCTGATGGATTTTGGTGCACAAGATATTCACAGTTCTTGTGTGAGGCCACTTCACTCTTGTTATCTAACAACTGTCCTGGCTGACTGGTGATAAACCAATGGGTAAGTGGAAGGGACAATTTTGAAAGGAATATTAGGAAGTTTGAGGAGAAGGAGGTTTCACTGGAGCTTCCATTGGTTTTACTGGATGGAAGATCTCACCCAAAATGAAAGATAACTGAGGAGCTTTGGATGAAGTTTCACAGTGTTCATGGATTGTACTCAAAAGAGGGGAAAAGGCAGGGGTACAGGACTGAGCTGAGCAGGAGGTGAGATCCAGGAATCCTGGCTTTGCAGTGAGAGTGCCTGACGTGCCCCAGTGATCCCAGGGAGCTGCTTGCTGCAGGTGAAGGTCTGGAGAGGAGCTTATTGACCAGCCTGGGCCTCTGTTAACTCACCAGTGTCAGATTTATAAATGGAAATACCACATCCTACACGTAACCATCCTAAATGGCCTCTTTGGCAGGAAAAGGAATCTAGCTGCCCAAATTAAAGATTTGCACATAAGAATATCAGGGTCTTTGTTTAAGTTGCAAATGATTAAGGTTTGGTTTTATCTTTGGTTGTGTATGAAAGTGCCAAGCTGTGTGATGAAAAAGGAATGTGTATTTTTCTGTGTAACAAATAAGGATAATGTATTTTTGTATGTAATGTTGGTGTTCTATTTGAGTAATGATAGTAGAAGATGGTAATCCTGACTGAGCAGTTACAGTCATGTAATTAACCTTATATGTGATAAATGAGCAACATCATGTGTTCCTGAACAAGTTTGAAAAATGAATCATACTCTTTGTGCATTTTATTCTTGGCTGTAACATTTGAGTAGCAACAGATAACTAAACAAAATGTTATAGAAAATAATAAAATGATCACGTCTGAAGGTAAAAAGAACAGTTGTTCTGTTTTGATAGTGGTGACTTCTTCAATTGACCAAGTCAAGCATGCTAATAATGTTTTTGGGGGTTTCTTCTTTCTAGAGTATCTAGCCACCTAAGAAAAGATATTCAGTATATAGCTCTGAAATAAAAGTTTTGGTAAAATGCAGAAACTGATAACATTTTAAAAAGCCATTAAATCTGATGTTGGAGTTTCAATGATACAAGGTGGTGGTACAGTACCATAAAATTTCTTCAAACACAATAGAGTATTTTAAAGAAATTCTGATGGTGTGGAAGGGAGAATAAGCCAATGCAAGCTTCCATATCAAGATAAAAATGTTGTGTAAAAGTGTAAAGTGTGTGCAAGACAGTGTAAAATTAAATATTCAACAATTAAAACTTTTTTAATAGTGAAAGGACGTATACCACTGCTTACTTTTCAAGGATATTTCCAGGGCTCTGTTCTATAGCATTTTCTGGTTATAGTGAGTGCAGAGAATCCTATTGACCTGGATGGGACTCTGCTTAAGCAAAGGTACAGTATGTTTGCACGTTTGCAGAAACAGCTTTTTTTCCTCACAGAATGTGAAAACAAGAAAATTTTGTGCAATTATGTAATTATAACCTTGTCAGTACAGTTATCATTAAATGTTATGCAATTAAAACCTGTGAAATAAACTGCCATGAAGATATTTCCTTAGTCCTGATCAGTACCCACTTGTTGCAAATTGTCAACAGTAAAAAGAGCTGTTACATTCATTGGCTTCCATTGTACTTTTTTTTTGTCTTCCACAGGAAAAAGTAGAATATGCCTTCCTGATAATTTTTACAGTTGAAACATTTTTGAAGATTATAGCATATGGATTATTATTACACCCCAATGCATATGTTAGAAATGGATGGAATTTATTGGATTTTGTAATAGTAATAGTAGGGTAAGTAGCTTATCTTCCATTATAAAAATATTTAAACTTTTCTTTTCAGTGTGGTAGGTATAGGCCTGTTTGGCTGTGAGTAGCAGCCTATGCTGGATTTCTTTATTTGGAGTAAAAGAATGAACTGAATGAAAAAATGTTAAAAAGTCCTGAAATTTTCAGTGCTATCCGTGGTTATAGACTGCATTGCATTTATAAGTTCCCAGGGAATTCTGAGTCCTGCTGGAGATTTCCAGAGTTGTTTTTCAGAAGCTTTTCCGTCTGATTTTCTCAGGGTAAACTCCTGGTGTCTTTCCATATGTTGATCTCTTAAGGGCTGCACGTTGTTATTTAATGTATTTGTTTAACCCTTCGCTGCAGTCATGTGGAGTTCATCTGTTTCACAAAGAACCTCTGGGAGGCCCCACATGTTTCAAAGTGGAGAACAGTTGTTGGGGAGACAGAATTAACAGTGCTTCCTTGATATTTCCAAAATCTGAGTACAATTGGGTGCTGCATGTCAGCCCCCAGATACAGATATGATTTTGATTTGCCTGGGGTTGAATGTATGTAAAAATGCCTTTTTTTTTTTTTTTTTCATCTGTGCACCTTGCTGTACCAGGAAACCTTGGAGAGTTTGTTCTTTGCCCCAGAGAAGGGATTGCTTGGGCCTTATGCAGGTTCAGAGGAGTGGAACTTACATTATGCAATTATTGATAAATGATTTTTGTGTCACCAACTCGATGTCAGTGCTTGTGCTACTTCATTAGATCCTACCTTCAGCTATCTAGGGAATGAATCTTGAGATTTATATTCACCAATTTCCTAAATGTTGTGGAGATTATGTTAAACAACTCTTTAACCTGTACTGTCAATTAATTTTGCTAAAAGTATACATTATCTAGAACATGGAGAGCATTATCCATGTTTTACTTTGTATGTTGTAGCACACATTACCTTGGCTTGCAGTATGCAATTCTAATTTCATTTTAAAATTCAAACCATATCAAGGGTTGCCTGTATTTGAAAAGGCTCAGCAATTAGAGTGTGTGCTGCTTTTAAGTTGTCACTGCATTAAGGGAAAGAAAGAGTTGCTAAGTACAGGAATTTGTGGTGAAGCACTGTTAAATCTGGGGAAATACTGCGAATATAAGAATGCCTGATTTGTAGCCATTTGATCATAAGATACTAAATGTTACTGAGAAGGTTGTATTTGGGCCAGTCCTTTGGCATGCAGGCAGTTTTGGTCCAGGACTAAAATTTGTGTATAAATAGATCCTCCATCAGGTCAGGTCATTCTCAACAGATTGGTCCCTGTGCCTGAAGGGGAAGCTTGGTGGGCAGGTTGGAGACTGTCACACACGAGCTCTGCTCCCTTGCCAAGCACTCACTTGAATAGACCTCTTCCCTTTTGTCAAGTGACCACAGAGTTACAGTAACCCTGGAGCAGTCTAATTAACATGACCTCTATCTTTGGCTGTGTCCTAAATACATGATAACTAAAAAATTTTCCACTAATTCCTAAAACATTCATTATTGGAGGCTAAATGGAGTTAGGTCAAACGCTCACACCGAATTTGTTGAAAATACTAATAAAAAAGGACTACATCTTATCAAATGCCTAAAATATCACACTAAGTCCTAATTCAAATCCAAAAGTTTGGAATATAAACTCTTGTGCAGGTTGTCAGCAGCCTACCTGTAAGACAAGGTGGACCTTTCCTAACATGTCACACACTGACAAAATTGTGAGCAAGGTTTTTGCTCTTTCAGTAAGAGAACAACCTGCATGATTTAGCAGCATGAGTCCCATTTATTTAATTAATACATAGTAATGCAGTGAAAAATTGATTTTCATATATAACCCAAGGTGGATATGGAATCACTTCTGGATTGATTCTGTTTGACTAGCTTCAATGGGAAATTTCATTAGGTATTCTAATAGCTTGAAAGAGCCGCCATGATGTCCTATATTGAATGTATATTTGCTTCCTCAGCAGGAACTGTAGCCAGTCCAATTCCATTAATCTTAAATATACCTAAAGAAATCTCTACAAGCAAAAGGGAAACACATATAGAGATGTTTTTAAAATCTTTAAACTCTGGTAAACTGTAGAGGAATATTAATGTAAATTTCAATAAAGAAGATCAATAGTTCTATATCTTAATGGCTTTTTAGGAATGACATATGTCCTGGTTTCAGCTGGACAACAAAAAATGACAGAGCTGTAGGCAGAGCTGTGAATGTGATGCTTTCTACTCTTTGTCAGTTCTCTCTGTAACCCATCAGAGTATGAATTACTCTGAGTAGTCTGCTTACCTGCATGGTCTCTCACGTAATTTCCATTGATTTCTGTGGAAGAATAAGGTCCCAGCAGAGAAAGCTTTCACAGCACCTGCCTATGCCCTTTAATTTCCTGAATGTTGTATGAACTGACAGGCTGAAAGGTTCTCTGAATTCAGGACTTGATTCAGAAGCCTTTCTAATAAAGTCTGTCTTTAGAGCACAAATAGTCACTCTTAAAATCACTGAGGTGCTGGTTTTCCTGCAATTATGCTTCCATTAAATTCTAGGGCTGAATCAGGACCTGGTATTGGATGTCTGGATTTGTGGAAAAGTTTGTGGGCTGCTGATGTTCCCTGTAACATTTGTAGAGTCTTTGGGGCTGAGTTTTTCTCTGGAGCAGAGCAAAGCAGTCTAGGAAAGGGTATTGACTGTTGTGGGTCAGCTGCTTACTGGGGGAGGGTAAAGCCTTCAATAATCTAGTTTAGGCACCCTATTAAATAATATAAGATTTCAGGCAACTATCCAGTGTGACAGAATTCTAAACCAGAGTTGTGAAAAATTTTCATGCCCAAACCAAAACCCTGCACATTTCAGGCATCCTTTACAAGTGTGAAACATTTCTCATGATTGCAAAACTCTATTAACTTGATAATCCTTTCAGCAGAAGTGCAGCTCTGCAACTATTGAGCTACAGTCTCTGCCCAAAGGATAACACAGTTTGTGTGGTCTAGTGGCAGTCTAGAAACCCGTGCATCTGAGGTGGAGCTCCAAACTAAAATAAACCTAAGATTAATTTGGATTTCAAGAGCATGCATCACTTTAAATTGCTGCTAAAAGTGGGAAAACAAAATAAAAGTCGTGTCTTGCAAACTGTTGTAATGAATGACTAATTCATTTCTTCAGGGAAAAAATACAATATAATAAATGAGCCATCTGGGAACATATTTTTTCTCAGAGGTATTATGTGTAAGAAACAAATCTTTTTGGTGTTATTAAATGGTGAACTCTAATTATTTTAAAAATGTTTAGTTTCTGCTGACTGTATATAGAATATTGTACTGCTGTGCTATGTGAAGTTCATATATTCCACCAAAATTAAGCCAGATGGTTTTAGTTATTATCTATTTCTTCTTCTAAAGAGAAGATTAATTCTCCAAATGTTAAAGCTAAAATGTTTGAACAAAAGTAGCTTCATTTATTTAAAAATATAAAACTGTGTATATAAGCTGAATGCTAAATTATTGGAAACTGTGTGATCCTCATTCTCTAGAGGGATTATAAAGTCTTGCACTTCTTAGGTCTGTCTGTCATGATTTAATGTGTAAATATACCTCTCAGTTTGACATCTGAACAGCTTTGCAGAATGATCTGCAGTTCAGCTAATTTCCAAAGTAATATCTTTTGACTGCGTGGTAAACGGGTAGTGGTGACCTTACCTTTCATCTCATTTTCTAGATTATTTAGTGTAATACTGGAACAATTAACCAAAGAAACAGACGGTGGCAGCCACTCAGGTGGCAAACCTGGTGGCTTTGATGTCAAAGCCCTAAGAGCCTTTCGTGTACTGCGACCTCTCCGACTCGTATCAGGAGTGCCCAGTAAGCTCTGCTCTCTATTTCATTGCAGTCAGGGGTGGGACTGCTCTCACCATTGAACTGTCTTCTTCCAGGCACTACAGAAATGAGATGGGATGAAGCTGAGTTTTTGTTATCTGGCTGTGTATATAAAGTGAATTTCAAGAATGTGTGATACCCTGTTTCATGTTGAACAAGGGATTGTGATTTCAGTCAGTGTATGATCTCCTCACACAGTTCGATAAGCAGATAGGGGAATACACTTCCTTTTTAGAAGCTTTATATAAAAGTAAATTGCATGTTAAAATGCAAATACATCAGAAAATAAAATTGAGTTTGTTTTTTTTTTATTCTAAACTCTCTGCATCTGAAAGTGTAGGTGGTCCTAAAATAGTTTATATGTTGGTAAGTGTATGCCAGAGCACATTATACATTTTGTGTTTCCTGCCCCCTCCAATGCACATGAATGCCTTCTGTTTATCTCAGCAGAGCTAACAGACAAATTAGAAAACTTAAAAAGTAGAACAATATTGCAATTGAATTTTCTGATATTCCCTGTTTTCTTTGAATGCTTTATTAATTATTGAAGCTATTTGGGCTATACGAGGTTCACAACTTCCAGTTCAGCTCTTTCCAAGGCATTCAAAGGAAGAAAGCTAATTCTGTGTTTAATATATCATGGACTGTTACATGGAAATGACTGATTTTTGGCAAAAGGGCTTCAGTGAGGACAGAAGCAGTCCTATGAAATGTCAGTGAGGAAGTCTCTCAAATTAAAGAAAAGGCATTTTTTATTCTCATTGGTACTGTGGCAGCTTCATTAGTCTGGAGTTAGATCATTTTGGTAAAGCCAAAAGGTGGATAAATATTTAATAGCAAAAAAATAAAATAGAGCAGTTTTGAAAGGGATAAATGATGAATAAGTTTGTTCAGATTAAAAATGAGTTTTCCCAGTTAACTATATTTTTCTCCCAGAGTAAGAAGACTGTTTTACAATTGACTGAGTGCACATTTTCTCAGAACTTGCCACAAAGTTTTTGTTTTGGCACTGAACTTCAAGGTCATATAAAATGACTTGCAGGCACACACTGACTAAGTGCCCTTTCTTTATAAAAGCCCCCACAGATTCTTGTGACACATTTCAAGCACTGACTTCTATGATATAAACTTAATTTACGGAGGAACTGATTAAATAGAAGGTTTTAGATTTTCATGAAGATTTTTATCTTAATGAAACATTTTGTGGTTCTGGGTAATAGATGTTTTAAAAAAATCTGATTTTCTCTGTGTGTCTGTATCATTAAATCCTAATAATGTGTAATTATGTGAAATTTGATAGAGTAAGACACAGAAATATGGTTCATATCTTGTATCCTCTTTTTTTTTTTTTTAGGTTTACAAGTTGTTCTGAACTCCATTATAAAAGCCATGGTTCCCCTCCTCCATATTGCCCTTTTGGTATTGTTTGTAATCATAATCTATGCTATTATAGGATTGGAACTTTTTATTGGAAAAATGCACAAATCTTGTTTTCTTATTGATTCAGGTAAGTCTTTAAACTGTTGATTAAAATAAGGGTTTGATGATGTTTTCTTTTTAATCTATGAGATTTCAGTTTGAAGTAGAACTAAGGGCCAAAGCACTTAAGCTGTTGTTTACCTCAGCTTACGCTGGTTCACAATTTTAGGTACAGTGCATTAAATGAAAAAATCCTCAATACCAAAGTCACCAAAAAATCAAACTAGTTAGAGACTAGACCGTGCTCTGAATAGGTTTTCATTTGTGCTATGTGTAGCTTAAATACCAGTAATGAAGAAAATAAGGGTGACTACCTATAAGGGACAAATCCAGCTTGTGGCAGTGTGGTGGTGGCAGTTCTGAAATGAGTGAAGAAGGAAAACAGTGCTCTTCCATCCAGGTGAGATAATGAAATGGAAGTGCGAGTTGTGGTACAACTTGAAAGAGGTGAAACCATCTTACCTGATGGTTAAAGGTGCTTTTCTTTGAGCTAAGGAATTAAGACAGCTTTGTATAGGAATTAGATCCATTTTTCCTTAGTGGTCCATGTGTTGGTGTGAAGTGCCATGAAGTGAAGTAGCAGCAGAGAAGAGGAAAGGAAAAATCAGCATGAGGACCTTCTAAATGATGTATTGTTACATAGTGCTTCTTTCCATTGCTTAATTATTTTTATTAACCTATTCTTGAGGTTGCAAGGCCCAGATCTGAGTGAGAAAGCTCTAAAAGCTCCAAAACTCTGATGTGCTGCCTTTCTCATCTTGAAATCCAGAGTTATCTCACATCAGCCTTGGTATTTCCTCATGGGAAGGGGTCACTCATGAAAGCTTTTGGACTCAGAGTTGTGATTTCTTTGCTCCTTTTCCAGATATACTAGTTGAAGATGATCCAGCACCTTGTGCATTCTCAGGGAACGGCCGTCAGTGCGTCATGAACGGCACCGAATGTAAGGGTGGATGGGTTGGACCCAACGGAGGCATAACCAACTTTGACAACTTTGCATTTGCAATGCTGACTGTGTTCCAGTGTATAACCATGGAGGGCTGGACTGATGTGCTGTACTGGGTGAGTTCATAAATCACTGAGCTTTGTGTGCTTTTAAACAAGCTTCTCTGTTCTAGTGAGCATTGAGCTGTGTTTGACAGCACCATCAACAGGAAATCTTGGTGAGTTTTGCAGGAGACAAGCTCAGCTGCATACTTGTTTCAGTCACAGCCTGTTACTGGATTCCTCAGGCTAAAAGGATATTTTAGAAACAATTTATTCATTGCTTATTTGAGGGGGTTTTTTGCCTGTTCCATTTGGATAAATGTAAAAGTACATTTATGTCCTTTGGACTAGCATTTTTTTGTGTGAGCCTACAGATATTAAGTATGTCTTCACTGATTAGGCTTAAGAGCTCTCTTTTTGCAGTATTTGTGCAGAATTTTTCACAATGTTAACATAAATTAGAACAAAGCAAGCTCTCAACTGACATTGCTTGCCATGGGGACTGAAAATCATATTAACCATTCAGAAACTACAGATTTGCAGGAACTATGGCCCTGATATCATCTCCATGGAAGCAGCAAAAGGTATTCAAAAACCTAACTCCCTAAATCCTCACATTTAAATGCTCCTTTAGTGTAAGGTATGGTGCTTCCAGAGCCTTGCAACATCTACAGTCAGCTGGACACAGACTGGGAAAGTGAAGGATAGAGGAAAATGAACAGACAGATTTTCCTACAGCTGCTGAACATCACTGAGAACACTCAGTACTCCCTGGTACTCAGCAATGAGTCTTTGCAGCTATTAGGACCTTATTAAAAACCACAATTCTAACAGTTCAGATGTTAGAAAATATGTATGCAAGAATAAACACAATTAGTGGTAAGGATCATTGTTAGCAAGCTGTTAAAAAGGATTATCTCAAGGAGTATCTTAGTGGAACTTTAGGTGTTGTTGCTGAGAACAGCTCTCTTTGTGAGTGTGTTGGTCAGGCCAAGTGGGATTATTTACTAACAATGCATTGGTTGTGGAGTACTGGATGCATTTAAAAATGTGGTATTACCTAGTTAATGACCACATGATTTTATGTGAAATCAAGGTGAAATAAGCTGTTGCTAAAACAAATAACACAGAGTGTAGTCTCAGATAAAACCTGTAATACTGAAGTATAGAATATGGACATGTTTTTAAGACAATATCACTGTTAAAGATAATTAAGATGTTAAAATGGCATTCTTTTAGGATTGAAAGACAAAAAAAAAGGCAGCTATGGGTATCTTCTTCCACTGTCTATTATCAGTTACAAGACTGGCTAGAAACACACAAACCTTCAAAACTAATGAGTAGCAATCATGTATGGCTACATATAGGCTATTGCATCATTTCCCATTGTAAAGGATTTGATGCCCTAATTAATCTGCTGCCCTTTAGAAACCTTTGCAGAGTCTCCAGTGACAGCAGAAAAAATTAAAATCATTGAGATAGGATGTTGAATATTTTCATGATCAGACAAAATGAAAAGTATGAGAAAATTATAAATGATTGATAACTGCATGAGTTGTTTTTGCTTCTTCCTCTGTAAGGAGTTGCCAATGTAGAAAGTATTTGCAGGTACACAGGTGTCATTTTTCATTTTATTACAAATGAAACTGGGATTATTAGACAGTGAAGCAAATATTTATTGACCTAGTGAAATATAATCGGAATCAGATATTCAGGTGGCTTTGGAATCTATCTTAACTGATGCCTATATAATTAAATTATAGCTTCAGATCCTTTCTATCTTATAGAACAACAAGTTACCCATTGTCAAACTGAAATTACTTGCTGAGGACAAGAGGAATAACAGTTTATATGTTTGAATTTTATCACTGCATCAAGCTGAAGTAGATTTAGCTAAAAATTGGAAAAGATTTAATTTCATTTGAAAATTGTAAAAGCATTAGGGGGATACCAAATTGTAATAAAAGAATCTGAGGAAGCCATTTTAGCTCGATGTGCATGGGGTTTGTGGATTGCTTTTTGCTTAGAATTCTGTTATTAATACACAGACTGAATGAGTTTTATACAAAACAAATAAAACCAACCCCAAAATTTTAGAAACTGTACAAAATTCTCATTTTTCATTTGGTCACTGTGTGAACAGTGAAATGAACTTATGTATGCTTCTCTTGCTAGCTGGTGTAATGTGAGTGGGTGAAATCTGTGCAATATTTTGCATTGTGTTAAGTGGCATTCTGTCAGCAAGGATGACAGCTGAAAATGACAGCTTCCAACAGCCCTCACTGGCACAGCTTGTTATCACCTGGTTAATGACAGTAAACTGCTCTGAAAATTCTCCAAGCACCAATAATGATTTTTCTCTTGTGCATATCTTTTGTGAGTCGAGGCCTTGATTCTGCTGCTGCTGGGCACCCTTCAGGTCATGGTGGCCTATGTGGGCATCCTGCTGCTCACCAGTTTGCATCCCATCCCATCCCATCCCATCCCATCCCATCCCATCCCATCCCATCCCAATCATCTCCTACTGCATTTTAGTGTTTTCATCTGGCCTCTTCTCTCTAACTCACGTACAACTCACTGGATAGCAGGCATTGCATGGTTTATCAAAAAAAAAAATAATTGTGACTCCTTAGTGCCAGAGGTTTGAATTGAGAGGTTAGGGGGTGTTGTCCTTGTTCTCAGCAGCCAGTGGAGCACATGTGCTCCCAAATTGTGTTTGTGGCTGCTCATTTGTGTATGTTCTCCATTTCTATTGGGACCATGTTTATTCCCGTTCATGGTCCTTTCTGTTTGCTCTGGAGCCCTCACTGGAGGTTTATGCTTTTAGTTCTGGATCCTGGTGCAGTCCTTGTTATCAGCCAAGTGGCAGCCCCTGTGTGCCCAGGTTTTTAATGCTCTGGCTCACATTCTAAAGCTGCGAGTGTAGTACACTCTGCCTCATTTCCAAAGTGTGCTAGCAAGCTCTCAGGAATTGCAGAACTTGAATCTGCATTTGCATATCTGGTTCCAGATTTTTCCCATGTCTTTGAAACATCTCAATGTATAATCTCTTAATGGCAAACATGTATTTTGTAAATTGCTTTTTATTTTTAGCTGCTTCACTTGATACCTGGGAGCACAGATAACAAGTAGCAACACTTGCCAGGAAAACCCCCAATTTTCCTATGAGCACCAAAATTATCACATTTAATTCTTCTTGTTTTCACCATAGTGAAGTTATCTTGACTTACTACACTTGAATAATCCAATTGTAGCTTGAATGAGAGATGGTCAGGGTCTCTGAGAAACAAAGTACTTCATGAGATGGGCTGCCAGCACAGTTGCGTCAAAGATGGGACAAGTGTATTAGTGGCTACCAGATTTTACTAGGTCAATTTTATGGCCAGGTACTGCATCACTAACTCCAATTTTAAAGCTCCCCAGTTCTCTAATACCTGTCTAGCACTGTTCAGATTGATCTGAAGATTTCTGACATTGAAGCACTCGAGCTAAAATTGCTGAATAATGGTACACTGATGTCTTAGATGGTTTTGCCTATTAATACACCTACTGATATGTTAAAAAGATATTCTCAAAAGGATTCTTGTTTAAAATACTCAGATCATTACTTGAAACGTCTAAGCAATCTAAAATATACCTAAAACTCATATAGGGTTTAAGGAAAGGGATGGCAGGTTTTTTAAAATATACCTTTTACTGATATGTCAACTTTAAAAAAACTGTTAGTACTTTTTGCTAATAACATATATTATCAGCAAAGAAATTCTTCATTGTTCCTCTGCTTTTGTAACAAAAAAGGGTGCAGTTGAGAACCTCTCTCCTGTTTAAGAAATTGAGCTTTAAATCCCCCAATATACTCTTGAAACATCTTAGAACATCTGAAAAAATCCCTTATTTCTGTAACACAGACTGTTCAGGCTGCACTTCACTTCTGTGTAGGTCTACAGGCACTTTTGCATATGTGTCTGCACAGCCAGTGTATTAATGTCAATCAGATCAGGTCAGGAGCTCAATCTCTACTCCTGACACCTTTTAGAGTTCTTCTATTCAAGATTATTTAAGGGTAGACTCAGATACAGTGTACTTGAAATCAGCTGATGTGCAGCCAGAGATATTTCCTAAACACAAGTGTTTTACAAATACATATCACACAAGAAAACCCCTTGGCTTGTGCACAAAATGTATTAATATGCTAGAAACAAAAAACTGCAAAATATGTTTCAAGTATTACCAAAACTGTCATCAGAGTGCTGACAAGGAGTCTCCTAAAAATACCCTTCCAAAAATATGACCAAGAGTCAAATAAGCAATAATAGTCTAGAACTTTGAATTGAATGATTTAATAAGCTAGTGGGAATCAGCTACTTAGGGTGATTTAAGCCATGTTAGTCCCATTCCACCTGCAGAAAGGGAGGCATGTTCCACCATCCAAACAATATTTGTCAGCAATGAATTTCAGCTTATTGTCTGCGAGAAGTCAAAGAATGCTTCACAGCTTTTTTTCCATTTGTAAATCAGTTGCAAATATTTAGCAATGTTAAAAAACTGTGAGGAAACATGCCTGAAAAATCTTAAATAGTACTTATTCCTGCCTTTTCCTCTTATGTACCTAGGGAAGGATTAGTGCTGTTCTGCTGGCATTGCTCAGCACCACTCACAGGTCATCTGAGGGAGGCTCTGGAGTGAAACAAGTCAGCTCATCCCCAAAGGCATCCATGTGCTGCCTGCACAGAGCTCCCAGCCTTCCATGACTACATAGCAGAAAGTTAACACATGATGTACAGCTGGAGACACAGTGGTAGAAATTTTGACTGACAGCATTAATATACTGCATAAATCTCCCTAAAGAGCCAGGGATTGCAGGCAGAATTTTTTCTGTTTGAATGTTAACTACTTGAATCAGGTTTCATATTAAAATCAAGATTAACCCCCCTCCTTGCCTTTTACATAATGATGTGTACTAATTGCCTTTTTGTATTCTCTTGTTATTAAAAGCTCTGAATCATCCAGTTTTGGATTGCAAAAAGATAGGACTTAATTTCAGAAAGAGAAAAAAGGGAATGATCAAATTCAGA